AAAAAAAAAAAAAGCATTCCTTCTGCAGAAGAAAAATTTTTTTTTCTCTTTACACTGATCGAAGAACTTTTTTGGACAATCATTAAACAAGATTAAATATAACTGAGTTGACAATTTAAAGAGAATCAAATTTTTTCTTTTTCATCTTTTATATCGTATTGTTTTCAAAAAAGAAAAAAATATCAGAAATTTTATCGTTTATTTCAACTGTATTTATCAACAAATTCTTTCATTAATTTGACTAACAATAGATCTTAAAAAATAAAAAAAAAATGATAAACTTTCTAGCAAAAATTGTTTACTTAGTTTATTTAGAAATTTTTTCGATGAATCAGTGGCAGTCAAGACTTTTAATTTCTGGTTTAAGAAACAGTTTTGTAGAGAAAACAACAACAGCAACAACGAGCAGATTCTAAATTAAGAAAACTGTTTTCGTTGATGACAACCTGTTTATGTATTTCAAACATCTGCATATTACACACCTTTTAAACATTAACAGATTTTCCACAGAAACAGAAACCTTTCGCCTTTCCTCCTTTTCTTCCCCCCCCCCTCCAACCCCTGTCCCTTCATGATTGATTAAAAACCTGAGCCGACACCCCTCACCTTTTCAACTTTAACTTCATCAACCTTCCCCTTTTCATTACCTCTAACCATTATCTTTATTACCAGGAAAAAAAAAGAAGAGGAACATTCACCAACTACTTCTTAAAATAAACTCAAATAAACGACATAATAGAAGTAACAGTATTGTAATTATTAAACGTACTTGCAAAAAAAAAGAAAAACCAGAGCTTCATCAACTCCGAAATCTTTTTGACGAAGAAAAACAGGAGAAAAGCCATCGTTGATTCAGAGGGAACTTTTACAGCTAAACTGCTGGCCAAAAGCTGTTTTGCTGATAGAATAAATTAAGAATTTTTTTCCTTTCGCTTTAAAATAAAAACAAACTATTTTTTTTTCCGCTTTTATCCTCTTCGTTTTTTTCTTTTAAACCATTTATGAGTCACTAAATAGGCAGCAACAGCAGCAGTGGCAGTGGCATCAACTGCAACGTCATCCACAACTTATCGGTTACTTAAAATTCTGTTACATTTAACACATATAACCTAATAATCCTTTAACATTCAAAGGCAGTCCTACTTTTTTCACTCCCTTTTTTCTTCCTTATTTCCTCTTCTATTTTATTGCCAAACAT